TGGCTAGTGAACATTAGGCCGGGTTACCTGACTTTCCGGGTGGGGAATCAGTGTTTTATAGAGCCGTATCTCCCTTGCCGATTCGCCCGCCAGTTCGGTTATGACCAGCTTTATGTCGGGAACCCGCGCCAGCAGCTTCGGGCTCCTGGAGGTCTGGTGGACGGTCTTCGTGCATGGTTGTGGACCGTGACTGGCTGCACTGGTGCTAGGTTCAGTCTCCCAGGTACTGAGCGGCAGTTGAACCTCACTTTCTTGAGCTGCAAGTGGTTGCTAGCAGCTAATAAGACTGTCCCTGTGAAGCCTATCGAAGAGTTGGTGGCCGAAGAAGCCTCTCAACTTGATTCTCGTGTTATCCAGGACGGTGCTCGATCACAGAGGGCTCAGGGCAAGACCCGCCGACTTGATGCAGAAGGTCACAGGGCCTTTAGTTCTGCTGGAGAGGCCTCAGGCGGAGACCCTGAAGACTACGAGGCAGATTTGGAGCAAGGTTAGTCACCTATCTTTCTTTTTCTCTGCATTTCCAAATTGCTATTCCTGACCACTATTCGATATTTCAGGGACAGCGACCAACAGTGACGACGAATTCCGTCCTTTTACCCGGGCAAGACCTTCGATTGCTGTCCGTGCTGATAGGCGGAAAAGATTAGCCCACAAGGCGATGATCCTGTTAGTGGCGGGGGGAACATCTATTCTATAGATCATTCCCTTGATCGTTTAGAATTTTAGGCTCATGCTTTCCCATCCTATGCAGGATATCGTGAGGAAGGCGAGATGAGTCCTGATGATTGTGTATCTCCTGGCGAGCCTGACTCACCACACCAGGTAGAACAGCCTGCAGAGACCGCCCATGTTGGGGAACCTGTCAATGAAGGACCCAGTTCGATGAACCCAGGTACATCTTCAAGAGGTAACTTGTCTTTATTGGCCATAGTTTCCTTCTTCTTCCCTCATACTTATATCTTTTTATGTCAGATTTTTCAATTGATGACTTCGATGGGGAAGGCCTGCCTGTGGACTCAAAGAGATGGGTTCGCCTAAACTGCTAGGCTCGCCCGATTCGAGCGGTTCGCCAAAAATGGGAACCTGGCTCAAGAGGTTGATTCGCCTCAAGCCTGAATAATAATTCAGGCTGTCGTGGGGGATGAGGGATTGTGCCTCGAGACGAGCGAGAGCTTTTCGTCGTCGCTGTTTGGATCTTTTTGAACGAGGAGCGTTCATGTCGACGGCGGAGGCGTATTCTGCGTCGACACGAATGGTTGATTCCTCTTGCACATGGGTCTGCGAGGATCGTTCATCGACCCACCCAGCAGCTCCTAGACCTGCATTCTCGAATCTCGGCTCGGTCTCAACTGGTTTGGGGGGAAAAGAACCCCCTGCCTCGGCTTGGGTAGATCCCTCAGGCTTGGTTGCCTCAGCCTCTTGGGGCTGGGCCACCCGCACGACTCTGCAGCCATCGCGAGATGTATTGCCGCCAGAAGAGGACGATTGTAAGTACCCCTCGAATTTGATCACAAGGGACTCAACCGTAGTCCCCGCAGCAACTTCGTCAAACTGCGCCACCACCAATTCATCTGAATGAACGGATTCTCCCACTGCTGTCGCCATCTTCTGTAGGGTGAAAATTTGATTCTTCCGAAGAAAGGAGTTTCGTTTGTATTTATAAGAAAACTTATTACAAACTAACAAATCAAATGTTTACAACAGAAGCAGAGGGAAGGCCCTCTTTGTTTTGTGTGGGGACTTTAGGTGGCGATAGGATGCCTCGCTCGGTGCTCGTGCCGAGTCTGCTTCCCTTGGACGATCCGATCGAAGTTGCTGCCGGAGCTTCGGTTCTCAAATGAGGGAGCCTTTGGCAAAGGTCCAGGTTCAACCTTTGGGAGATTAGCCAGCAGAATATGCAACGGCCAATCCCCCTTCTTCATGCTGCTGAAGATGGGTTTTAACAGGCAAGGGATGGCATGGGCTATCCCTTGATTCATGGGATTTGACCACTAATAGAGGTGAGGGAGATAGCTTGACTGCTCCTTGAATTATGGGATGTGACCACACGTTGTTCGGAGACGTCCTGCTGTTCATTCGTACCGTCAATGGTCATTCGAAGAGCTGTGCTCTGCATCACGCTACATAGGAGTGGGAAAGCCCCTCCTCGTATGCGTGACAACGGCTGTCAGATGCTTGCGTGGATCTGACCAACCACCGAGCGTTGGCGGCTCTCGTCCCTTCACCTGGACAACTGAGGTGAGCCGCATTTATGAGGGTGCAGGCTGTTTCGGCGCCTGTCCGCTCATTCGTACTGTGGACGGCCATCTGACGGGCCTGGAGTATTGTGCCCTCTCCCTTGATTTGTGGGATTTGACCACTGATGTAACTGTTCCCATACTCCAAGTGGGCAGTTGACAGTGAGCTGGCGAGTCTGCAGCTTGGGTCTGCAGGCGAGCTTAGGACTGCAGGCAGACTTGGGTCTGCAGGCGAGCTTGCGGCAGACTTGGGTCTGCAGGCGGATTTGGGACTGCAGGCGAATTTCGAGTTGCAGGCGAGCAGGCAGACTTGGGTCTGCAGGCGGATTTGGGACTGCAGGCGAATTTGAGCTGCAGGCGAGCTCCTGAGCATGGATTGAAGAATAGGTCGTAACTTTCAAACCGTAAGTCGGAATTGGACGAATTATATATGAAAATCGCCTATCTCGACGAGATGGAGCCATCCGAACCGAGCCGAAGGCTTCGGTTCGCTTCCTTCGTTTCGCCAAATTCCTTACGGTTTGGGAGATATCCGCGTTTTCCCCTTTTTCTGCTATTTCGGGCGAGTTTTTTAGCAGTTTTGTTCCGAACTTCTCTGATAAGGATTAAAGGCAATTTTTATTGCCTACAGTCATTCTCCGTGGGGAGCGTTGGTCCTTTTCGTGAAGAAGAAAGATGGCAATATGCGTCTTTGTATAGATTATCCGGAGTTGAATAAGGTCACTATCCAGAACAGGTATCCATTATCGAGGATTGATGACTTGTTCGACTAGTTGCAGGGAGTGCAGTACTTCTTAAAGGTTGATCTTCGTTTTAGCTATCATCAGTTACGGGTTCGGGAGATAGATATTTCTAAGACCGCCTTTCTAACTTGTTATGGGTCCTTCGAGTTTATTATCATGTCGTTTAGGCTGACCAATGCACCCACGATATTCATGGACTTGATGAACTGGGTTCTTCGTCCATATTTAGATCAGTTCGTGATAGTATTTATCGACGACATCCTTATATATTCGAGATCAGAGGCAGAGCACGAGCAGCATCTTCGACTAGCATTACAGATTTTGCGGGTGCATCAGCTATATGTCAAATTTAACAAGTGTGAGTTTTGGCTATCCGTGGTTAGATTTCTAGGCCATGTCATTATCAGAGAGGGCATTATAGTAGATCCATCTAAGGTTGCGACCGTACTTGATTAGGAGCCACCGCCGACAGTCACTGAGATTCATAGATTTTTGGGTTTGGCCGCCTATTACAGGAAGTTCATTCAGGACTTCTCGAAGATAGCCACGTCACTTACACGCCTTACGAAGTAGGGTGTACCTTTTGTTTGAGGCACGGAGTGCCATGAGGCATTTGAGACTTTGAAGGCTAAGTTAACTACAACACCAGTTTTGACCATCCCAAGCAGTGATAAGACCTTTGTCGTCTACACGGATGCGTCATTAGTGGGTCTAGGAGGTGTTTTGATGCAGACCCAGAGAGTGGTAGCATATATTTTGCATCAGTTGAGGACGCATGAGAAAAATTATGCCACACGTGATTTGGAACTAGCTATGGTAGTTTTTGCACTGAAGACATGGAGACATTACTTATATGGAGTGCAGTTTGAGCTATTCATGGATCATCAGAGTTTGAAGTATCTCTTCTCTAAAAAAGAACTAAATCAGAGACAGCAGAGATGTGTTGAATTTATTAAGGATTATGAGTTCGTGATTTAGTACTATCCGAAGAAGGTGAACGTCATAATAGACTCTTTGAGCAAGAAGCATCGTCATCGAATTTCGGCTTTGAGGTGTTCGTTGTATCGAGATCTTCACACACTTAACCAATTCGACTTTAGACCAGAGATAGGCAGGAACAATGTATTTTTTGGAGCTTTGCCCGTGCAACCATCTTGGAGTGATAGAGTGGTTAGAGCTCAGCTAGAGGACACTTGGATTTAAACCCAAAAGGGGGAGATTTCTAAAGAGCCCAAGGCTAATTGGAACGTTAGAGCAGATATAGGACTTTGAATAAAAGGCCGACTAGTGATGTCGAGAAATCCACAGCTGAAGAAGAAACTTATTCAATAAGGCGCATCGTACTAAGTACATAGTGCATCCAAGCATAACAAAAATGTACAAGGACCTGTCAGCAAGTGTTTCACCTGTCAGCAAGTGAAAGCAGAACATCAGAGGCCAGCAGGAACCCAAATCCTTTACCCATTCCGAAGAGGAAATGAGCAGATATTTCTATAGACTTTATTATAGGATTACCGAGATTGAAGAAGGGGAACGATTCAGTTTGGGTAATAGTGGATCGGTTGATGAAGTCAGCATATTTTTGGAGAAGCTTCCAGAATCTTACGGTAGCCAGTTATCTTACTCTAGTGTATTTCACCAATAGATAGATGGACAGACCGAGAGAGTGAACCAGATATTAGAGGACATGTTGAGGGCATGCGTTATTGATCTTCAGGGTAGTTGGAGGACCACATCTTATTGATTGAGTTTTTCTATAAATAATAGCTATCAAGGGACTATTGACATGGCACCGTATGAAGCATTGCATGGGAGGCCTTATAGATCACCTATTTGTTAGGCAGGACCAGAAGACAGTCTATTGCTTAGACCGAAGCTTGTTAGACAGACTACGGAGAAGGTAGCAGTCATTCGAGAGCGTATTCTTATAGCGCAAAGTCATCAGAAAAATTATGTAGATCGGAGGCGACAACCATTAGAATTCCAGGTTAGGAATTATGTTTTGTTAAAAGTATCCCCAATGAAGGGTGTACAACATTTTAGTAGATGGGGCAAGCTTGCCCCTAGGTACATTGGTCCGTTCTTGATGTCGAGCATACACGATGTGTTTCATGTTTCTATGCTTAAGAAGCATCTACGCAACGAGGAGGAGAAGCGAGTGTTGGACGCACCGGAGGTCGAGATTCACGATGATTTGACTATGATTGAGATTCTGGTATGCATTCTTACCAAGGAGAAAAATAAGCTTAGAAATAAGATGATACACTTAGTTAAAGTTCAGTGGAACCGGAGAGGAACTGAGGAGACTTCTTGGGAGCACGAGGAGGATATGCGTCGGGACTTCCCACACCTATTTGAGCAGGTAAATTTGTTAGACCCTAGAGGGGGGAGGGGTGATTAGGGTCTTATGCTAATCTAATACGATTTTATGCCAATTAAAACTTATTATCAAACTACTCTTGCAAGATAGATATACAATATGTTATAAGCAAGAATAAGAAATATGAATAAATGAATATATCCTAGCAATGAGATATTACAAATATATAAGCAATGATATATAAACTAATACAAGGGGAAAATAAACAATGCAAACACACAATATGATCACGGATTTTGGACCTTCCGTCCTACGTCTCCGCTCCCCACTCCCAGGGAGAAATTCACTATCACAACCGGGTTTTCTACGCTTACCCGAACAACGTTTACACCTCACACTCGGTTTTCTAGCTAACCGAAAACTTTACAATCAATACTCTTGCAATCCCACTCTACACCCACTAAGTGTTGGTACTAGACGTGTCTCCCTTAAGTGCTCGGATACAACCTCTCCCTAGATTCATCAACCGACGCCACTCCTCTTGGGACGATCCCCGACTCTCGCCACACACTTCTCTCGGTGTACAAGTATATTACAAAGTGAAAGCTCACATTCAATTGTTATAACTCTCACCAACCCAAATATACTATGTATGAAAATACAATAAGCTCAAGTGGGTGTGTATAAACAATGAGTGAAATAAAATCTAAATTCAATATAAAAACTAGCTTTAAAGAATGATAATCAAACAAATATGCAAATGTAAAGCTAGATAAGAGTTTAAAAACTAGCTTTAAAGAATGATAATCAAACAAATATGCAAATGTAAAGCTAGATAAGAGTTTAGAAATTCTTCTCTGAAAAACAAGATGGAGAGAGTAAAGCTAGATAAGAGTTTAGAAATTCTTCTCTGAAAAACAAGATGGAGAGATGGATTAAGATGAAGCTGAATCGATGTAGATAATCTCCTCCACTTGTGTAAAACTTCTTCCCAAACAAAAACTCTTTTAAACAAATACTAAAAAAACTTAAATAAAACTTAAACACCCTTAAACTTGTTTTTAAACTTTTCTTGGGTAGTTTGAACTGAGGATATGTGGGGATATTTATAGGAACCCCAAAGCCAAAAGAAAACAAGGCAAAAAGACCAAAAACCCAAAAACAATACAGTATGGAAATATAACCGTTATAGTGTTATGAGTCGACTCGTACTTTTTATGAGTCGACTCATAAGTAGCCATTACAGGCTAAAAACCAACTTATGGGTCGACTCATAAAATTCATGAGTCGACTCATCATGCATGGGTCGACTCATGAATTCATGGGTCAACTCAGCAGAAACAAAATTAGTTTTCCAGCACACTTCATGAGTCGACTTATGACAAACAAGAGTCGACTCAACCTGATGGGTCGACTCATGATGTTATGAGTCGACTCGTCAGAACCAAAATGTAAACTACACAACAGTTTATGAGTCGACTCAACACTGTTCATGAGTCGACTCATGACATGCACACAGCCTGTTTTAAACAGTAAAAACCAACTATAAACAGGGTTTAAAAATATCAAATAAATTCCAAAAATTATGAAACTTTGGGAAGTGTTTATAAACATGTTAATGAACATGTTACAAAAAGAATTTTTTGGAATTGCACTTATCATTTATGAAAACTAGTCATTTTACAAAAATGTCCAGAACATGCAAACTTGATATACTTGAATTTTGATGTTTTGACATAAACAAAGTTTTGAAACTTTATAAACTGATTTTATAGACTTAAATACTTGAATTTTGATGTTTTGACATAAACAAAGTTTTGAAACTTTATAAACTGATTTTATAGACTTAATGAAAGATGTAAACTATTGTTTTGAAGTATATAAACAATAAATATAGTATTTTAACAAAATACACATATAAAGCACTAAAACATGATTTCATTGAATTCAAAATACACATATAAAGCACTAAAACATGATTTCATTGAATTAAATAGACTTGATATTGTTGAAATCATATATAGGCATATAAACATGAAACAAATATGTATTTTCCAATTATATTCATTTGTTTCATATATATAAGCTTGAAAGCTATAAAACCAAAACATGTATGTATATATATAACTATATATACATAGAAACCAAAACTATAATGTGTGTATATATATATAACTATATATATATACAAGGAAACCAATAAAATGTGTGTGTATAATATTGAGCTTAAAGTACTAACACACATAATATAAACCTAAACTAAATGTTACCCAAGCTTGATCTTGATCTTCATTGTAGCTCAACTTGGTAAACTTGGATGAAGCTTGTAATTGGATCTTTAACTTGATAGCAAGGCTTCACTCCACTATTCCGCCAACCTCCATTTGATATAATCGTTATGACGCAATTCCATCCAACCTCCAACATATTGTTTGCCTAGAATAAATATAAAACACAAATACTAGACAAACAATATTAGATATAAATTGTTTGTAAATCATCATCAAAACAAGAAAGCCAACAATCTCCCCCTTTTTGATGATGACAAACAATTTATAAAAAGGATATATGCATGAAAAGAAATGAATATATAAGTTATAATTCACATGTATATAAACAAGGAAATGTATACTCACAATATTTCTCCCCTTTTGACAACATCAAAAAGGGAAAAACAAAAGAATAAAGAGAGCGAAAGCTCCCCCTATCAATATGCATGTGTGAGTATAAATATATATATATATATATATATATATATATATGGGGATTGCTCCCCCTATCAAAATACCTCATAAAAGTATGAAATGAATGCTAAGGCATACATATGTGGGAAAGCATAGATGCTAAACCCAACTCACATACAAAAAGATAATGAGAATACATATAAATATATCAATATGAAAATAGTGTCTCATATCAAAGAACATAAAAATCATGTATAAAAGTAGATTTATGAAAATCAAAAGAAAGGGAACTTGAGAATCATGCAAAATGTTTTCAAAATGAAAATAAATCAACCAAATGAAATCATAAATCAAATTTTAAGCCCAAAAGTGACGTTTGATCAATAAAGAAAATTTTCTTTGTAAAACATGATCAAACCACATAAAGAATATATTATAAAGCATAATTGAAATTTGAATCATCTATTTGTGCTTATATAATGAATTCAAAGCAATAAATCAAAACAAAATTTTCATAGTTCAAAAGTAACATACAAGAATCATGAACTATGGATTTTAAAAACTAAAAATTATCTTTAAGAGTATAAAACCAAACCATCATTGATTTAAAAAAAAATCAAGAGAGGCAACCATATCTAGATCTTGAGCTAGTATCAACCCATATAAATATTTTTAGCACCCGGTAAAAAAGATTTGAGAATAAACACCCAATAACCCCAGAGGGTTATAAACACAAACCTCTCATCAAAATCAAAGTTGATAAAATGAAAACAAAAGAATTGATCAAAAGAAAGTTGTTTTGATTAACAAGAATTTCAAAACATTTTTCAAAACCAAGACAAAGAAAATAAAAATCACTAAAGTTCTTGGTTTAAGAATCATTTTGGCACCCAAGCATTCTTGGTGCCGGATTATTTAGGGATATGACCCCTATCAATAAAGCTCAAAGCCCTAGGGTTATGAACCCTCTTGGGCGGATGTGGTGCACTAACACGGTCAAAGTAATAATCACTCAAATGACCCTTCCGATTATAATTTATGCAATGAAAGAGATCCATTTATTTTTGTGGACCATTAGCTCGTGCACGAAAAACATTTGCAAACATAGGTTGTTCTTTTAAATTGTCTTGCAAATGAGAAACATCATTAAACAATGGTCTATTTGGAACATATTGTAACTTAGAAGCTTTTTGCATATCATAACAAAATTTTGCAATTAAACAATGGTCTATTTGGAACATATTGTAACTTAGAAGCTTTTTGCATATCATAACAAAATTTTGCAAGATGTCCAAGCTTTTTGCATATCATAACAAAATTTTGCAAGATGTCCAAACCTACCACAAACATCATATTTAAAAACACGTGGTCTACTAGAAACTTTTGGCAAAAAAGATATTTTTTTTTCAAATCAAAACAATATTCGGCCAAATGACCAAAACGACCACAATGATCACGCTTGAACACACTAGCATGCTTGTGATGAATTTTGTGAGAATGAGCATGTGAATGTGAAAGTGTACAAGATGATGAAGCTACATGAGATGTACAAGGAGAATTAGTATTCTTATGTTTGTGTGCATCATAGCAAAATTTACCTAAATGGCATTTACGGCTGCAAATAGAGCACTTGTAAACTTTACTATATATGTGTGCATAATGAGTTGATGATTTTGATTTAGACTTGGCACACATATCCATAAGTTTCTTATGGTTGTTAATGCATGTAGTTAGAGTTGAATCTAAATAAGAAATATGGTTTTTAACATTGTTTAACTCAACATTAGGCATATTAGATTAACATTAGAAGTAGAACATAAATAGTCATTTATAAAAGAAGCAGTATCATTTTTTATGTTCTTAACTTTTAACATGACATTATTTTTGTCATGAGTTAAGTTAGCAATATCCAATTTCAAATTATTATTTTCCAAATTTAGCATATCATTGTTTTCTTTAAGAGCAATATTTTTTTGAGAAATGATATCAAATTTGGAAGCTAACTTCTCATGATTGGATTTTAAATCTTCATGCTTGCTTTACAATTCAATAAAATTTTTATGCAATTTGTTATAGGCATCCAATAATTTTTCACTAGCACAAGCAAGTTCATCACTAGATAAATCATCAATGGATTCGAACTCGCAAACCTCACTAGGGCTATCGCCTAGTGGCCGTGTGCATGATGCTCCATATGAACTTGAAGCCGGATCCGCCAAAGCTTATTAGATCGCCTCCAAGTCCCCTTGATGTGCTTCAATAAATTTTCATAAGGTATAAGCACTATCAAAATGAACAAACTTGTTAGACATAGATGAATTAAAAGCATTTAGCAAATATTCTAACAAAATATTATTC